TATTGGGATAATGGAAAAGAAGCCGCCTTGTAGGAGATGATGCCAGCCTTTGGGACATTCAGCAAATGGCCCATCATTTTGACGAGGCTTCGTTGGGATTCGGCCACCGCCCATCCCAATGCCTCCTGGCGTCATGCCGCCGATGCCCTTGCCAGTCAATCTTACTCAGCAGCAAGCCATGGAGCCCCGACCTCAGCCTACTATATTGGGATAATGGAGAAGAAAATGAGAACTACAGGAATTATAGGGGTTATATAGGGATTATAAGGTTTGTATATAGAACTATGCTGCCAAGTTCGTCGTAGGAGTATTCGTAGGAGTACTGATGCCAAGAATAATACCAGTAGTAGCAGGAGTAGTAGCACGAGGAGCTAGACAAGTATTACAGTAACTTGTAGGAGCACTATGGGGTAAAAGGACAGCCCCCATGCTCATGCTGATTATCAGCGCGCGTACTGTAATTTCAGCTGCCTCCATTACAGTGTGCTAGCTGCATACAGCAGAAGCTGACCTTGACCAAAGGTACGATGCCACCAAGGCAAGAGACACAGCAACTTGGTCGCAAGATTTCCGGCTTGGGGAAATAAGAGGTTCGGGGTATAGGTTTGAATTTCGGGTCGCGTTTGAGCTTACACGAAGACTTTGATACTTCTGTTGCGCAAAAGTGTGCATTCTTGACTACTTAAGACAGCAGTCTTGCTGTTGTGCCGCAGTCAGAAAGAGCCGAGTTCCATCAATGATGGAGACATAGTTGAACCATGCTGCGCAAAGCTTGTGGACCTTTTGATGATCTCAGACGCGAATGTTCGTTTGTACATGGAGGAGTAAATCACCGGAAATGATGCCATCCATGGGAACCTAAACGCCACCGATGCTACAGGTGCTGCCGCCTCAAGACCCAAATCCAAATCCGAGGCACTCGAGCCAGAGGTCATCGAGCTGGTACACTACTTCAAAATTTCGGACAGACATGCCCGCATGCTGAATGAACAGCTCAAGCCCCTTGGTTCTGAACTGTCACCTCCCAGGCAACATGCCACATACATGTATGGTAGCGTGAAGCACATGACAGCCGCCAGAATGGCAAAGGGATCGAAGCCATCCAAGGCGCCGAAACAACACCTACGAGGATGATATTGCATCCCTCTACGAGATCTTGAAGGGTGCCAAGAATCCAGGAGCTGTCAGTCTTAACCCTTGGCTCAGAAGGCGATACTCTGGGCCCTTGGCATTCACAAGGGTGGGGATACAGGCCTTCTGTAGGGATGCTTAGGATTCATGTCCTGTTCGCGGTAAAAGAGCTTCCAGTGTCACTGGGTTTCCACCCCAAAACCCCCGAAACTCAGCCCTAATGATATGTAGACTACCTTTCTAGCAGTCCTGTCGTGAGGAGACCTGCTGATGGCCAAAACCTCAGAGGGCACTGCAAAGATGCTGCGCAGACAGTCCCGTAAAGCCTCAGACACTTGAGTATGCCTGAGTGGTTAGCAGTCTGCTGCCATCAGGTCTCCATACGCTGGATGGAGAAGGGTGTCTTCAGGGGCACGCTGACGCCCAACCCCGCCGTGGAGAAGGCCTTTTCGTGTTGTTTCGGGTTTAGGGGTTTAGGGTTTGGGGTTTAGGCAACGGCAGGTAGCACATAAGCAGTAACTCTTTGTGGAGAAGCTGACAAGGCGGTTGCAAGGCCATGTGTTGGCACGCTATCATGATTTTTGAGCGGCTGCATCCTGCATTTTTCTGAGGCATCTTCCCAAAAAACTAGGACATCCAGGGTCCATGAAGATGTTTTTCAGAATAACCCCTATACCATAAAGAATCCATCAGGGACCGCCATAATCGCGGGATCCTTAGGCCCCCGCCCCCCCTATGTTGAGAAGCTCGTGGGCTGCCGACGACTGTTACAAAATGCTTGTAATGCCGTATAGCTTAGGCCAAGATGGGAGTTGATCAAAATAGCCCTTTTATTAAATTCAAGAAGCCTAGACCTTCAATTCAATAGTAGTTTCCATGTTCTTTTTCCATTTGCTTCTCCATTAGCATAAGTAGCGTACCCCAATGTGCCCAAATACATTTCCCGTGTAGACCCTGGCCAAGTGCTGGCCTGGCTTAGCTCTAAACGCTGTGAATAGTCTCAAAGAGACACTTCCCCTGCCCAGCCACCTGTTTTCAAACAAAACGTGCCTCTCACTGCTCCTCAAACGTGGGATTCCTTCTTTGCAGCAACCCTAGGCAGCCAAGAAGTACAAGCTGGATGCCCCTTCAGCCTGCAAGCTTGCGGAAGTGCTGGAAAGCCGGGAAGATCCAGACGCAGATCTCAGGCGCGACGGCCTAGGAGAAGAGCCGGGCTGTGAAACCTGCACCGTTGCCCAGTGGGTTGACAGGAGTTTCCACAAGCTTTGGGGTTGCCTTTTCGGGAGAAGCATTCGCCTGAACTTGGAGCTCCTCAGAACCCCCAAACGGGCAGCTAACGATGGGGCGGAGAGTGATGTCATGACCCAAAATGTCACATGAGGAGCTCAGTCATTGCCTGGTAGATCAACCCATGTATGGTGGTGAGACGAGGACTGAGGACTGAGGGGTGCTCTGACTCCCATCCGTAGTGCGGAAGAGCGTTCGGCGACTGTCGGCCACAGGGCCGCCAGGAGACTGGGCGTGGGGGCAGACTTCAATCTCTGCCTTTGGGTGGGGTTGTGCTGCAGAAGAGTGCCTCAACGCGAGGAGAATGCACAGCCGGTCTTGGGAAGAGGTTTCTTCATCGCTGGTGCTATAGCCGAAGAGAAGCAAGCAATTAATATCACCCTCCATCTCCGGATGTGATCAGAATAGCATAGTGGATGACGCTTGTACTCCAAACTGCGGATGATCAGTGAAGCGGACTCCTGCCATAGCTTGCCGCCCCATGCAATGCAGTACATGTTGCAGCTATGTATACAGCTCTTCAACATCTTGCACCCGTGAAGATCACACGGTCTCCGCATGCTGTCAATTCCTCTTGCTGGGATTGCGGGTTTTCCTGTATAGAAGGACTTGCTGAGCTCAGCTCCACGAACGGGCGCTTGCAAAGGACATTCTAGGAAACCAGGCAGCTGCAAACCCCAGCCCATTGACATCTGCGTGGTAGCATGTCTTCCTGCTGTCATTTGCCTAGAGTGGTTAGTCTGTGAAGGCATCAGTGCATACAGCCTCTCCAGAGTTCGGCCTCCACTTAGGGCTTTCCTCTGGTCAAGGAAGCTCTGTGACCACCTGGCAGCTTCCAACAAGCCGTCATCCTTGGCCGCAAACTCAAGCTCATGTGCGTATCTGCATGTCACGTGTCCACTTGAAACAGGGCGATTCTCGTCAACCTGTTGCCTACATGCCCTTCGGTCACCAAGGTCATGCAGATGCTGAGGGACATCAAGGCTGGGAAGCCCGTGGAGCCATGCACTCGGGCACCGGCCATCGGATCTTACCTCCACAAGAAGGCGGGGCCTGTGCTGGCACGGTGCTTTGGGGCATGGCCAGCTTAAATTCCCGGGTGGGGGGCACGAATCACGAATATGTGCGCCTTTTTTTGAGTAGGGTTTCAAAGCAAGTAGAACTAGTTACTCTGCCCTGCAGCAAGTCCACCAAGTGCGAAGTGGTGTGCAGGAGACTGCAACCAAGCAGAGCTCCAAGGGTGGAAGAAGCAGGCTGGGAGGGGTGACGCCGCCGGTACATTGCAGGATGACCCGTTGTAGGACCGAGCTTCTAGCCATGAGGACGCCCACTCGGCGCAGTCCCAGCCGTGGGGGGAGGCACCGAAGCCGAGACCGTGGTGATCGTGGTGGGCCCCGAGGCGGCCGGAGCAGCTTTGCGGCCAGGAGTTTTTTCAGATGATCAGAATGGCCTTTGTTGGCCGCTGCACATTCCTTTGTCAATCTTTGTCATCCCATTCTGCGAAGCATCCTGTGTGAGGTCGCAGCCGCGGAGGTGGCGGCCGTGGAGGTGGCGATCGCGGCGGAGATCGGAGAGACCGTGGCGATCGAGAAAATCATCGAGGCGCCGACGGCGAGAATGGCCGGGGCCGGCACCGATGCTCGGCTAGAAGCAAGCTTCAGGCGAGGATAGGCGAGGACACGCCCACAATCGGTGCGTCGTGGTATGCCGTTGATATTTAGATTCTCTGTGCCCCGCACGCCTGAACACAGGAAGATTTTTGCAAGTACCTAGGCATGAGCAACAAGCAAAATGCTGTGCCTCAGCAAGTACTTTCCAGGCGATCACGCGCTGAAATCCTGCAGAACGAAGGAGTAAGCGGGTAATCCAAAAATGAAGGGTCCAATTTCTAGATTCTAGATCATATGAGCTATAGTCTGAACTCCTTATAGGGGACTATATTATAGGGGATAATATGAGCCGGGGTCAAAATTACATACCGTTATTGAAGAGTAGTAAGGGTCATTGTTCAATTAATAGAGAGACGTTAAAACCACTGCAAAACTATACGGGGCACCCTGAAAAAGGATACCCCGAAACGATACCTCCCAGACCTGCAAAGCGATACGGGGCACACAGGGTAAATTCCACCATTACCACAAATGAGTAATTAGTTTTGACGCCAATTCATATAGGGGAGTATAATAGGGGTTCTTAAGGGGGATACTAGGAGTTTAGAAGTTTAGACTACAGCTCACATGGATTTCTGCCAAAATCAGAGGCCTTAACACTCCCGAAGATGTGGTCAATGGTGAAGCCCCAAACTTTTAGGGACTCTTAGGGACCACATGTACTATAGTCTAAACTCTTTAGAGGGGGCTACACAGGGGACTTTATTAGGGGTTATGCAGCGGGATGCTGAGACTTAAGATTATGGCCTATAGCTCATTGCTTTTCTTTGGCCATCTCCAACAATTCTGACAACCATTGCCACAACTTGCTGGTGTTTGAGTGCGAGTGGCGAGTGGATCCCGATAATTCATGCCAAGCAGTGCCTATAAGCACCAGCCTAGCCCCCAAAGTCTACAGTCCCCCTTAAGTAGATAGAATATGGTTTTAGGTATATTAGTATAAGATCCCCGTATACCCCATATTCTATCTACTCAGGACTATAAGCCTCGAAAGTAGATAATGGTTTTCATGGTCCAGCCCACCCCAAAAAATCAAAAAGGCAATTATAGACCCTAAGGCCTTAAGCCCCGCAAGCCTGGGGGAAAATTCTGCGCCCCTATTCGGCAGACGTAAAGGTCTGTGACTGTGGGGTTAAAAAACAAGTTTCCATTTTCTTTTCCATTATCCCAGCATAGCCACTATACGTTCCCCACATACTTTGGAGGTAAACCCTGGCCCTAAGCCCTATACCCTACTACCCTAAACCCTATACCCTTATACCCTATACCCTACTACCCTAAACCCTATACCCTACTACCCTAAACCCTATATACCCTAATACCCTATACCCTAATACCCGAGTACTCTAATACCCTAAACGGAGTAAGTTAAGGAAGCCGGAGTCGGCCGGACCGTCGTGGTGGTCAACGCGGCCGGGCAGCAGTTTTCTGGGGCTTAAGGTCTAGGGTTGATAGCTCAGGGATTTAGGTTGAGGATTTGGGGTTTAGAGCTGGGATTTTGGGTTTGGGATTTCAGGCATCTTAGGGTTTGGGGTTGGAGTTGAAGGTTTTGGGGTTGACAGTTGGGTGTTTGCAGCTAATCTTCGGTTGTGGGTGCACTAGACATTTGACAGGTGCCATTATGGAGGAAGCCCAATTATCTATCCTTTGTCTGGCCTCAACTCGCGCAACAATTCCTATAGTCGATACTCAAACGATAACCCTAAAAAATCATAACGGGGAATAGTACGTACCTATCAGAGTAATCACAAAAGCTTTCCCAATCTTTCCTCGTGAACCTAGCTATGCTGATCGGTACCAAGGGGGTTGGGGAGAGGGAACCCCAACATGTGGTCAAATTTGGCTGCGTTTCCGGGGCCAGACCCCACCGAAGGTCAGGTTACTTGGGGGTTCTGGTGATCTCCGAAACCGGCCACTCAGGAGGGTCGGTTGGGAACGCTTCCGGGCAGGGAAACGGACGCCTTCTTATGCTGCTGATGCTCGGCGGGGGCGGTCATGCGGCTTGTTTTGGGCACGGCGGAGGCCATGTTGCCGAGTTATGGCGTATTTCGGCAGAGTCTGGGATGTCCAACATCCGCACCGGTTCGGGTTGGCAGCAAGTTGCGCACTCAGTTTCATGCTCGCGGGTCACCACCCTGCCGCCCATGCTCATGCGCTCGACACTTTTTAAAAGATTACTTTCACGTGCCTGCTGCATGCCTACCCGATGCTGTTCCTGCCTCCTGCTTCGAAGCTGTTGTCCTCCCCTGGGCACAAGTCGATATTCCCCTTGTGCAGCTATTCGCCGGTGGGTGATGAGCTCAGCTAAGTCCTAAGTCCGGACACAAAAGGGCCTCAAGATACCCTGACCTCTCGAGAACTGGTGCCAGTGCTAGGTGAGGATCGAGCTGCGGAGGCGCACCCAGGCCAGGAGTTTCTTGAGCCATGTGTTAGATGATGTTGAAGCAGTTTTGGGGGTCAACATTTTGGGACTCAGCAGTTCAGGGTTGTGGGGGTGGGGTAAAGGGATGACTGCTTAGCGTGGAGGATTCGTATGGATTGTAGAGAAAAGCGGTGATCTTTTTTAACTTCAAGGGATTGGATATTTGGCGGCTTCGGGGACACTGGCTCGCAGTTGAAGTTTTGATAATTGCAAGCAGGGCTTGCTCCCGTGACCTTGTAATTGCAGATGAGGCACATGAGCCATGTTTTTTTTGAATTTTATTTTATGCGCTTGTCTACCGATATCTAAATACGGAAATAACTCCTGGGAT